TACAGAGATCAGTTTGCTCACAGGCCATCCCTGAAGGCAAACAGTGTTTTAGGGTAGAAGAGTAAAGGGTCTGAACAGAAATACAGGGCATTTTCTTTTTATCGGTCTTATATAATATTCTACTTTCGCGGGAGCCACAAATTGGGCTTAAATCAGATCTAAGCCATAACAGAAATAAACCCTAAAAATATATAACACAGTGTAAAAAAGCTACATATGAAACACATGTTGAATTACAGTGGGTCTTTAAGGAATCCTGCTGTATTTATGATTTTTAGAAACTTTTCATTAATTCATATCTGAGGGTATAAATACTTAAACATTTATTGAACTGGAAATTTTCTTTGGTTTATTTTTAAATCTAAATAATGTTCTTTTTTTTTTTGCTCGATTTGGATGTATTATTTAAACAATCACTTCTTGTGCTGGAAATTGTCTGAAATAGTTTATCATAGATATACTTGTTTATCATGGTGGGTGAACAGCATAAAATCAGCACACTGATTGCCCCAGATTATATCAATAATTTATTCCAAATGTCCTTAGATGCCAATCAGGCCTCAGGCTAGAGGGCATAGATACATACTGTACAATGCAGACGCCAACCCCCACTATCCCCATAGCGACAGTAATCCTCATCTCTGAAGGGAAGTGGCACCAATGTTTGCAGGCAAACACCCTGACCTTCATCTTTAACCATATAATAATGATCAGAGATGTACGTATGAAAGACGAAATGTTCCCTACATGCTAAATGCACAGTGGGTTCACATTTGATCTGGCTGAATTAGATAACTGGAGTTCATGCGGTCAAGCCTAAACCATTGATATTATCCCTTCTGACCCACATCTGTAGGTTAGCTGCAACAAATCAGCATGAAGCAGCTGTAATCTGCCATATTATCCACAAACCTCTTTGTCTAAATATCATCTGGCTCTTGGTATATCCAGCAATCCTAGATTAACATTGTCTATCCTTTTCTTCCTGTCTCTCCTATTTATGTGATGCATTGAGTCAGACTTTTGCTGTGAATTAGCAGCACTGACAGGCAGCAAGAAACTCATTACAACTTTTCCCTGGAAAAATGTGAAATGAACTATTCAAAGATCAATTCTCTCCGGGTAAAGAAAGCACAGAGGACAGGGGTGTGTGGACATGGATAACTGAGAAAAAAAGGTCAGCGGTTTTTTTCCTTGCATTGTTTTCATTAAAAACACAGAAGAAAATCCTGAAAAATCCACTTTTTTCCTCTTAGACAAGCAAACCTACAAATGTTCTTTCAATAAGAAAACAGATTATGTGGCCTGAAAGCCGAGCCAAGCTTTAAAAAGAAACCCTCAGGAGTGAAGAATCATTCCCACACATTCCATAACCGATCCGACAGCGACTCAACTCTGCAAACACAGAAAGAGAGGCGGCGAGGCCTTACCCGAAGTCATCCAGGGAATACATGTCGTTGCAGAAGACGTGTTCCTCGAGGAAAGGATGAGAGAAGATATAAAAGGGATAGATTATGGAGGAGAGGGGGAAGCGTTGGCCTGAGAGGACAGAGAGCTCCGCATGCTGCAGCTCACTCAGTCTTTCCCTCTTCACATCCTCAAAAAATGTTTTTTGAGAAACCACCAAGCCAGCAAAGTATGAGGCAGAGAGAGAGAGAGAACGCAGGAGGGACAGGAGAGGCGAGGAAGATGAAGAGTGCTGCAACAGAGAAGGAAAAGGGAATGAAGGAGAGGGAGAGAACATGTGATCTGTGCAGACCAGTCACCTCGTCCAGCCTCTGAGGAATGACTTCCACTGGATAGAAATTACAGGAGGGATTTTACATGTGCCTGTCCACAGCCTGAACATGTGAAAACGCTTTAAGGCAGCTTCAATCCAAACGCAGCATGTCAACCATCCATTAAATTACTCCAGCACCGAGAAACTGAGCAGCAACATATGAAACACAATTCTTTGTTGTTACTGTCTGGCTTTATGCAAGTTTATCCTCGAGCAAGGGGTCCATCTGTCTACGGCAACGCAGCCATTAAGCTTCTTTACCACGGCAAGCTAAGGTGCAGGAAACAAACAGCAATCTTAGATTAGAGGACTTTATGTGGGTAAAATGGTAGGACATATGTAGCTTTGAGCTGAGAAAGTATGAAAAAGAAGTGCAACTAAAGATGCTTCATAAAATTCATTAAAACCTTTTGGAATATGTACTGCAACAAACTGCTGTAAAAAAAAAAGTGATTACTTCTTAGTCAGATCAGTGGATAAATCCTCAGCCAATTCATTTGCCAGACCTGTCAGATCATTAGAAACCATCTGACAATATGAAGTCAACTAATAGGCAACACACAATGCCCCGATCTAAAGAAATCCAATAACATACCAGAGACAAAGTCAATGATGACAATCAATCTGGAAAAGGATTAATATAGTCACTTCTTTAGTTCATTACATGGTGCAAAGCATTTTGGACTTCAGTTTTTTCACCTTAGGTCAGCGTTCATGATTCAGCAAAAAGAAAAAGACTGGGCAAAGATTTTTTTGTAACAAATTGATTGTAACTTTAAAATAAATATAAAATTTTAATAAACATTTTTATTATACAGAAATTATACTCTTTATACAGGAAGAGTAGTCTCTACTCTTGTAGAGACTAAAGGGGATTGTTAAATAAATAAATAAAGATGGCCTCTATTGTAGAACCCCTGCAGACAAAAGCTGACCTGACATTTCCATCCCCATTTGTTTGGACTGTTAGCAACAAATACTGCTGACTAACAAAACAAAAGTAAAAGATGAACGTATCATCTATTAGGAACAGATCCCCCTCACAGTAAAGCTTGGTGGTGGAGGTATGATGGTATGGGATGTTGAATGACCAGGGGTTCTGTAAGCTTAAGCTCAATAGCAGATGCTTATACAGCCAGACAATGATGTAAAGAACACTAGAAAATGAATCTCTAAATGCTTAAAATAAAAAAAAACATATTTCAGAAATTTGATAGTTAGTGTTGGATTTGTTAAGTTCTGAGACAGATCAATAGTTGCTGATTTTGAAGCACGGATCTGGTTTTCTTTTGAGTCTAATGTGCCATATTGAACATAAGTAAACCTAATACAGAAAAAAAAGGTAATTCCCCTTAAATATCTTGCAGATTCAGTCAAATTCAGACAAAAATATCTATACTGAATTATAATTCTGCTTTGTTTTAAACCATTTTACTGTCACTAAACTTATATTATACACTTTTATTTTGAAAAGCACAAATAAAACGAATCATTAATATCGTAATCAAACCTACAGACACACAAACACACAATAGTTTAACATAAACAGCAATGCAAATGCAAATATACATATATATAGAGAGAAATCTTAAAAACCTTCCAAACTACAGGACTTGAATGGGAGATACATGTCGCCACCTGGTGGACGGATTTAGCACTCAATTGACAACTAGTAGTCCAAAGTAAACCATAAAGGAATTCATCAGTTGATGAAAATGGACCCTATGGTATTTCCATCAGGTTTCCAAGGGAAATTTATTGATCTTGGGAATATGTGTGTTGTTTTTGTGAAGCTAAGGAGCAGATTTTTTTTAACAATCTGTTCTTTATACATGCAGCACTGCAAAACAGCTTCAAATAAGACAAATAATATGAGGAGTTGAAGCTTTAAATGTTTTTTTTAATCAAAAGCTTTTAATTAATTTTCAAAAACCCAGAAATAAACCTAAAACATCACCAACAGTTAAAAAGAAAATGTATTTCCTTCAGTTTTGAGCTCAGTCTCCCAATTGTCAAACTTTATTGTGGCTCTCCTTCTCTCTGGCAGTAAAAGGAGAAGGATGACGTTGGCTCACGTGGAGCTGCCCTCTGATCACCCCAGCAGCAGCAGCAGCCTGCAGTACAGCTCAGCATTTTACCTTCCAGTGTTTCCTCCATCATTCTACCTCTCCACCAATGAGTCACCACCATGAGAGATGGTGCAGCGCAGACAACTGTTTAAATACTTACCTCTCATCAAAATCTGATAATGTAAAACAATGCACAGCTGGAGTGTGTGCATATTTTGTTTGGGTAATGCATAGATACAAACAGTTAAACATTATTATTTAACTAATCAAGGAGTGAGGTTGGGTTGTTATGCATCCTTCTCTGCAAAAGAAGAGTTGGGTCACCGTGCTGTTTCTCTTAAGAGATTTAAGACCTCACTTCTGGGCCTAAGTCAAAGAACAGACCTGCCTCTGGCAAAAATAAACTCACAGGACCCAATGAGAAAGAAAGCTGGATGGAACCACATGGTTCTGACATGTTTACTTTCTGAGAGCAAAGCAGCTGGTTCTGGAGGAGTATTTGGATCTCCCAGTGAAGGGGGTTAAATCAAAAAGGAGCAAAGTAAAAAGACAGCTGGGTAAAAATAACCCAACCAGCCCTGCGGATGATTGAATGACCAGAAAAAGAGAAATGCTCCATTAATTTTGCACAAACCCAAACAGAATATCATTTGATTTAGCAAACATGCTCCACAGGCTGGATCCATCCAGGAGGAGCATGTGTGTGGTGGGTGGGGGGTGGGCTGTTAACCTGCCTGGCAACCACTAGAATAAACATCCCCCTCCACCTCCTCCTGCGCCCCCATTTATCCCCCCCTCACATATGGCGGTCATGTTCACCAAAGCAGGCCTTTTCTTTCTCTGTTTATCGCTGATGTGGAGAAATACATGATGCTGTCGTTTCCATGACAACACGAACCGGACCAGAGTCCGGCTTTCAGCACACAGGGCGGGTCCGGCGGTGACAATGGAAAGGAAAACAAGCAGGATTTGGTGAAGCGAGCGCTGTGCGAGGAGGGGAGGGTGGAGGAGGCCCCTGGGTGCCAAGAAGGAGCTGATAAATGAGCCGAAACTGCTGCAGGGATGTTCAGACGGTGAATGGAGCTGCAGGCAGAGGGCAGAGCATCTGTCATGACGCGTCAAACGGAGCGCGTGGAGCCGCAGCAGCTTACCTCATTTTCCTTCTCCTCCTCTTCCTTCTCTATCCAGCCGGAGGAGTCGCGCTGATTAGAATCAGATTTGTTTTATATATGTAGAAAAAAAGAGAAAGAAAGCAGCCCGGGCGGCTGTGATCGGCCCTCCAGCCTCCAAGCTGCGTCCTCTGCGCGTCACTCGGATCAAAATCGCTGAAATGCTCCGCAGACGCTAAACCAGTGCGCGCTTCTCCACGCGCTTTGTGCTGCGGTCTGTCAGCGGTGCTCCGTCCCGGCTCCTCAGGTCCATGTTCGGCTCAGGGAGGCTCGACCACACGTCTCCTTCATGCCACATTTCCTGCCATCCGGGCTGTTTTGGTGCGCTGGGCGCAGATTTCTGGGAATGCTAAACACGGTGGGTGAAGGAGGAGGAGCAGGAGTCACTCAAGGCAGCCCCCCTGCGGCCAAGACGTGCACGACAACCAACTTTCGCATCCCCCCTCCCCACCAGTGGACCCCAGAAGTAGGCCTATGCTATAGATCAATAAACAAGACTCTAAAATGCCCAAATATGTGTTTGATCTTGATGTTTTCTTTAGAAATTAAAACAGAAACAATATTAATTATTAAGCGACACAGTAGAAGCTCTGAGTACATTAAAATACTATATGAACTAGACGACACCCATTACTAGATATGATCTTATTATAATTTTTTTTAACTAGGCCACACTAAAGGATTATCAAAAATAAAAAGAAAAAAAGCAAAGGATCTGTTTAGAATGAGTCATAAGCAACGACCTTAACTGATTCATTTGACATTTATAATCACTGTTCTGTTTATTCAATTAAATTCAGTTTTTTTATATAGCGCCAATTCACAACACATGTCATCTCAAGGCACTTTACAGTTCACCAGATCATCCAGTTCTATTGATTTTTGATTGAAGTTGATTTGATTGAAGTTTTCTATTTAAGGAAAAACAGTTTATTGCATCGACTCATTGAATCGGAGGAAATCACTCACGCTAAGCATGCTTGTAGCAACAGTGGAGAGGAAAAAGTCCCTTTTAACAGGAAGAAACTTTTAGCAGAACCAGGCTCAGTGTGAGCGGCCATCTGCTGAGGCCGACTGGGTTTAAAGGAGACAGAAGCAGAGATACAAAAAGCAGCTGTAAAAGGCGGCCCCGTCCAGGAAACACACAGCCAGGCAGACGAGCTCCGAGGCAGCTCCCATGTCAGAGGATGAAGAGAGGACATCCAGCCAGTCACAGTCAGAGAAACAGGACTACACTGGAAAACAGGCCGATCTCCAGCATCTATAAACAAAGGTGTTGATGGCAGCAGCACAGCTGATATCCAGGATGGTGTCAAAGCCAAACAACAGAGTTAGGGATCCAATACCACAGACTCCCAGGTGAAAGTCATGCACACTGATCAGTCTGCAAAGGGGGATATCCCATGAATAGTTGAAGGCACAGTGACAGGACCCCACAGTGTCACATCTGTATGCTTTTTTTATATAAAAGTGTAGTGGTACAAGTTTATGTAATGATAGCTTGTCGTGCACAGCCGGAAGGCTGCATATATTATATGTGATGCTGGGACTTATATATATATATATATATATATATATATATATATATATATATATATATATATATATACACTCACCGGCCACTTTATTAGGTACACCTGTCCAACTGCTCGTTAACACTTAATTTCTAAGCAGCCAATCACATGGCGGCAACTCAGTGCATTTAGGCATGTAGACATGGTCAAGACAATCTCCTGCAGTTCAAACCGAGCATCAGTATGGGGAAGAAAGGTGATTTGAGTGACTTTGAACGTGGCATGATTGTTGGTGCCAGAAGGGCTGGTCTGAGTATTTCAGAAACTGCTGATCTACTGGGATTTTCACGCACAACCATCTCTAGGGTTTACAGAGAATGGTCCGAATAAGAAAAAACATCCAGTGAGCGGCAGTTCTGTGGGCGGAAATGCCTTGTTGATGCCAGAGGTCAGAAGAGAATGGTCAGACTGGTTCGAGCTGATAGAAGGGCAACAGTGACTCAAATAACCACCCGTTACAACCAAGGTGGGCAGAAGAGCATCTCTGAACGCACAGTACGTCGAACTTTGAGGCAGATGGGCTACAGCAGCAGAAGACCACACCGGGTGCCACTCCTTTCAGCTTAGAACAGGAAACTGAGGCTACAATTTGCACAAGCTCATTGAAATTGGACAATAGAAGATTGGAAAAACGTTGCCTGGTCTGATGAGTCTCGATTTCTGCTGCGACATTCGGATGGTAGGGTCAGAATTTGACGTCTACAACAGGCTGGTGGTGGTGGTGTCATGGTGTGGGGAATATTTTCTTGGCACTCTTTGGGCCCCTTGGTACCAATTGAGCATTGTTGCAACGCCACAGCCTACCTGAGTATTGTTGCTGACCATGTCCATCCCTTTATGACCACAATGTACCCAACTTTTGATGGCTACTTTCAGCAGGATAATGCGCCATGTCATAAAGCTGGAATCATCTCAGACTGGTTTCTTGAACATGACAATGAGTTCACTGTACTCAAATGGCCTCCACAGTCACCAGATCTCAATCCAATAGAGCATCTTTGGGATGTGGTGGAACGGGAGATTCGCATCATGGATGTGCAGCCGACAAATCTGCGGCAACTGTGTGATGCCATCATGTCAATATGGACCAAACTCCCTGAGGAATGCTTCCAGCACCTTGTTGAATCTATGCAACGAAGAATTGAGGCAGTTCTGAAGGCAAAAGGGGGTCCAACCCGTTACTAGCATGGGGTACCTAATAAAAGGGCCGGTGAGTGTATATATATATATATATGCATTAAGACTGATATGAACCAATGTTTCTTTTTTCTATTAGTATATCTGTTTTGCTCTGTTAAATTAAACTGAGTCAATATAAGTAACCAAAGTTTGTGGGTTTGAAGGGATTTGAGGAGTTTTACTGAATCAAAGAAGCATTGGTGTGGTCATTTTTGATTTCCTTAAAAAATATGATTTTAGATATTGACATTGGTCAAAACTGACATATCGGTACATCGTTAGGCTTACTTGCTGACTGTTTTTCTTCCAAAATATGGTCAGCTTTAACCTATCAGTGCGATTGTATAAAAAAAACACCAAAAAACCCAAAAAGGAATTGATGTGAGTCAGAAGCTGAAATGTTTAAGAAAGGTGGGATATTGGTACTTTGCTCACTTACCTTTAAAAAGCAAGGACTTACGGTTCGGGCTGTGGTGTGAATGTTTGGGGTAAATTCAGTGAACTACTCATTCTTCTTCTGGGATGAATATCAAGTAAACATGAAAAAACAGACATAAAGACAGCCAGAGAAATATAACAGAACTCCACAAAACAACAGAAACACTATAGAAAACAAATAAAAACCAAAATATTAAAACAAGTTGATAAAATGGAAAAAATAAACACAAAAAGCATGTATCTAAAATGAAAAAAAAAAGGAAAAAAACCTGCCAGAGGAAACTTAGAAGCACCTTCACTGTTAAAAACATTGCTTTCCTTTTTTGTCTCTTTATTTTGTGCTAATTAACAATTTTGCAGTTTATATTGTTTTATGTTTTTCTGCTATGATATTTGGTTTAGTTCATGCAATCATGTGGAAATAAAAAGACAAGAACAAATGTTTAGGTTTCATTTGCTTTCAGTCAGATGTTAGGTATTTAATGGGAAGAAATCAGCAGCTTCAGGTGTTAAATGGTGGGACAGGTTCAGTTACATCCATGTGGATGAAGTTAGGAGGCTTTACTGAAAACACAGCATCTTCAAACAACAATCATCACACACATCATCAGAGAGGTTCTCACTAAAGTCCATCCGGCTCTGTGTTGAAATTGAAAACCGACGAGTAACATAAACCTGGAGCAGAGATCGCTCCATCTAACGCTGAGCAGTAAGAAACCTGCAGTTTGTCAGCAGTGCATCAAAGAGGAAAAACACCTCGAAAAATGGATCAGATCAGTGTTGGTGCAAAAGTCAGGCGATTACAGTGCAACGGTCTCTTCCTTCCTCTCCAAGAACAAATCTTGACATAAAAAAGGAAGAATAAAATAAAATTTACTTGTTTTTGATGCTCCTCATTTTTAGAGACAGACACATACGACAAGCATACAACATTTCACCCCCCCCCCTCAAAAAAGTCCTAAAACTGTTTCAAAAATCACATTTTCCTCAAAAATGTGCCGTGGGTCTGGGTACATATTCAACCACTCAGAACCAAACAAGGGGAAAACTTCAAGGTGAAACAACTGGCAGTGGAACATTTGGCTTCAAATTAATAAATATATATATAAAAAAATTCAGACTTGTGGAGGGAATATTTTAAATCAGGCTGAAACCTTGTTTGCTGCTTCTAATTACATTAAAGTGATATCACTCCTCTCTCTAATTATACTTCTACTATCCTTTTGTCGCATTAAAACATCAAACATTTATGCATTTTCTGGGCAATATATGTGACAGACCAACACAAAGTGATTGAATGCAAAGAAAGTCATTCATGTTTCATAAACAGAGGAAAGAAACACTTTGAAAAAAAAAAACATAATTTCTTTCCATTTTATAATAATGCGTGCCTTTGTGTTGGTCTATCTCATATAAATCCAGTTAAATCCATCAGAGTCTGTGGTAGTAATTTGACAAAATGTCAAGAAGTTCAGTATTTTTGCAAGGCATTAATTGTTGGATGTTTTTAGGGCTGCCAGAGGTTCTTCCTGATGTGCCAGGTTGGAAGGGGACTTGCTTCATTAGTGCTTTCCTGAGTTGTTAAATACAAAATAAAAGTACAAGAGCAGTAAAAAGAATCCCAATGTTTCAGTTTTTTGGAGCTCCATTCATGTGGAACGGTTCAGATCTTCCTGAGAGCAGAACCTGCACAGGAAGAAGAACAGTGACATCCAAACTGTGTTAGTGCAGACAGAAAGTCAGAGCCTTTGGTTCTGTTCAGTTGGACTCGTTCCGTTTTGTGTCTTTATAGACAAGGCTGAAATCAGTGAGTTTTTTTTCTCTATCCTGTTCATGTAGTGTGGCTAAAAAAAGCATAAAGGGAAAAGTTCTTCACTTCAAGCAGCTGCTTCTTACATTTCCTGCCTTTCCTTTCATCCGTCAGCAGGAGAAGAGGGAACCTGCAGGATCGCTTCTGTTTAATCGCCCCTCCCATCCCTCAAATCCACCTTTTATTTGGAGTCATTTTTAGTTTGGTTCATTTTAGTGCATATCTGCTCAGTTTGCTTCTGCAGCTCAGAGGCACCAGCTGTTTCTCTGAGTGTCCGTCTGCTCAGACTATTCTCCACTGCAGGACGCTCATATCCTTCCCGCCGGTCGACACCAAGTAGCTGTCGTCATACAGGAAGCTCACATTTGTTACATGGCTG